TTGTGATGGTAATGACGGTGGCGGTGTTGTTCCCTGTAGCGAAGATGATGGTTGTGGCGTGACTTCATCAGGTCGTGATTTATCAGAGGTTGTTGAGTCCTCTGACGAAGGTAAAATTTCAGATGAAGGTGATTGATGCTGATCTTGTTTGTTTTGTGTCGTAATTAATAACTCTTGATCGTGAGCCTCGCCGGGTAAATCGAGTGATCCATCATCATGTTGAGATTCAATTTGTGTGCCATTCTTTCTTTTATAACTTTTCAACTCGTTCAGTATATCGGCATTCATTTTTGGCTGGTCAAGAATTTTAGATCCCGATTGTGGAAGGTCATCTGAAATATCTTGTGTTCCAATGACACCTTGAGAAGCTATATTATGACGGCTGTTATAAATATATTCGCTTGCGTCCGGCACCTGTAATAGTGAAAATCTTTTAAGATGGCAGAACTGAGTTCTTCAACAAATGATAAATTATAAACAAACCTTAAAGTCACCGAACGTTGGAGTCCAGACTTTCCCTCCCACCAATTTTGCCTCGGTTTTCGCAATTTCTTGCATTCTTTCCAACTTTGTAATAATTTCTTGCCGGTTCAGAGATCCAGAATCAGATGCATTTTGTTGCTCTTTTATTATCCTCTCAAAGTCCCTTAACTCAATATTATGTTCAGTCAATTTTTCAAAATAACTTGCTTCTAAATCGGCAAGTTTTTGCTGAAGCGTTTGTATTGTATGACGAGAAATACGTAAAAGTTCCTCCAGTGAATCAACTTTTTTCCTGAGTTCACCCACAGTTTCATCTATAATTACATATATATATATTTAAGTTTTTAAATTAATTTAAGTATAATTTTATAAATATGGTTTAACAGTTAAATTACCTGCTCTGGATGCGAGTTCCTTTTGTAATTCGTGCTTTTCGTGCAAAGCCTTTTCTGCCACAGCTTTAGCTTCCTTTGCTTCATCAATGGCAGCTTGAATTTTATCTTGATCAGCAATTTTAGATAGCATTTGTGAGACGGTAGTGTTCAATGAATTGTTCCAATCCTGATCAACCCCGTGTTTATCCATCACGACCTGAGTGACTAGCGCATCAATAAGCTGAAAGTATCTTGTCCTATAATAAAGTGCTGAGAATCAATTTATGAAAATTTTTTTAACAAAAGGCTCATCACACCGTACCTTACGTCACCATCATTACTACGAATAAGCAGCATATGCTGCATGGCCGACAAAAAAAAGTCATATGCACGTGTACCCTTAACCATGGAAAGAATGTATTGGAAAACATCACTAGGATCAGTAAGAAATAAGTTAAGGTATTAAAGAATATTCTGAACTTATAATAAATAAAATTTGAAATTAAAGGATATGTCATGTCCTGAAAAATCTGATGATTATAATAATCCAATACATCCTCATAATCCAATTCACTCTCACGCTCAAATTTATTTATTTGTCGAGTAATTAATTCATAATTAAACGTTTTCATTTTCTAAGCAATAATAATATATTAAGATGGAAAGAAAAAGGAAGGAAACGAGTAAGTAAATATAACAATTTATAAGCTCCGAGACTTTTGAAAGTATATCATACTTACATCAATGATTCGTGTTAAGCCACAAGCGTGCAATTGATTCCTTAGATGCACTCGAACTTCTACGTCATCGCACACTCCGATGATAGAATTAACTAGGATCATATTCGCAAGCTAATTTACAATAGTATGTAAGTCACAACTTTTGATTTTAAATAAATGAACTAGAAAATCCTGCTAACCGCATACTCCATCAACGAATTATCTAAGCCTATTCCACTTTTTTTATATTCTTCGCTCGCATTGACTAAACTTCCATAACGTCCACGGCCATCGATTGTATTTTCCAACGTTCTCATCCAAGCATCAAATCTTCCATGTTCAGATTGAAATTGCATAAGCTGATCAAATCCACCCAATACCAAATTATGTCCAGTCGGAATTTCACAATAACAGAAGAATGAAAGAACTTCAGCCACAAGTTTACGAGTATTCGGCTGAGAAGAAACGAGAGAGAATGTTATGCTATAAATGCATGTCGGATGCGACAATGCTTCCTGGGCGCCCCACTAAAAATAGATTTGAAATTATAGGTTAAATTAATAATTCAACATTGAAATTCTATTTCGAGTGCCATTAAAATAGTACCCTGTTGTTTAATAATGACTTTAGACATTTAATAATCTCATATTCCATTTGTAAGTCAACTTCTAGCCTAAGTTAAAATCAAATTGTGAATATAGGGTTATTTAATAGCGTAATGAGTCAATAAACAAACTAATAAACAATTCAACTTCAACTAACTTAATAGCTTTACGGGTAATACTGTTTAAGTGATTTGCAAGAACTTCTAATCCTTTTGCATCGATAAATAACCGGACCCATCTAGGAAATAAGAGACGATAAGAGATTGCT